TGAAATGTTAACTTAGTTTCTCTCTCCACGGGATGCTGCCAGATCTGCTGAGGTTCTCGAGCATTCTCTGTTTTGATTAGAGAATTTGAGATTGCTTTTCTCAGATTAGAGAAGGTTGATAGGATGACTGAGGGGTCTGGATGGATAGTCTGGACACTGTTACCTTCTTTTGGAAGGATCAAGAACCAGAAGACACTGATTTAAGGCAATTAGTGAAAGAAGCAATGATGACATGAATTTTTAGGGAGAGAGAGGGGTTGAGGTCTGGATTATTATCTGAAAAGGAAGGATGAGCTGGGTTACGGGGAGAAGGTGGGAGAATGGCATCAGGGGGAAGATACCTGGAACATGATGGGCTATAACAATTCGGTGACACACAATTATTCTTTATTTGTTCAGGAGAATACAGCAATCACTGGCTTGGCCAGAATTTACTGCTCATTCCTCATTGCCCTCGAGATGGTGTTGAGGAGTTGCTTTCTTGAACTGCTTTCAGAGTGCTGTAGGAAGGTAATTCCAGGACTTTGACCCAGTGTAGGGACAGTGATATATTTCCGAGTCAGGATGGTGAGTGCCTCGGAGGGGAACTTGAAGGTGGTGCTGTTTTCATGTGTCTGCTGCCCTTGTCCTTCTAGACGGTAGAGGTCCTGGGTTTGGAAGCTGCTGTCAAAGACCCTTGATGAATTGCTGCAGTGCATCTTGTAAATGGTACACACTCTGTTACTGAGCGGGTAAGGAAGGAAAGTTGTACATGCGGTGAAACCAAGTGGGTGGCTTTGTCTTGGATGGTGTCAAGCTTCTTGCTTCAAGCTGTTGGAGCAGCACCCATCCAGGTAAGTGGGGTATATCCCATCACACTCTTGACTTGTGCCTTGTAGATGGTAGACAGGCTTTAGGGAGACAGGAGGTCAGTTACACACCACTGAATTCCCAGTATCTGACCCACCTTTGTAGCCACAGTATTTACATGGCTTGTCCTGTGCTGATTCTGGTCAATTGTAACCCCTAGAATGTTGATACTGGGAGCTGCAGAGCTGGTAATGTAATTAAATGACATGGGGTGATGGTTAGATTCTCTCTTGTTGTTCATAGCCATTTCCTGGCATTTACAAGGCACAAATGTTACTTGCCACTTGTCAGCCCAAACCTGGACATTGTCCAGATCTTGTTGCATTTGAACATGGATTGCTTCAATATCTGAAGGAGTTGCAAATGGTGCTGAAGGGGAGGCAATTGCCTAGTGGTATTATCACTGAGCTGTTAATCTAGAGACCCTGGTAATGTCCTGGGTTCGAATCCTGCCACAGCAGATGGTGCAATTTGAATTCAGTAAATATCTGGAATTAAAAATCTAATGATGACCATGATTCACTAATGGCCTTTAGGGAAGGAAACTGCCATCCTTACCTGGTCTGGCCTACATGTGACTCCAGACCCACAGCAATATAGTTGACTCATAATGCCCTCTGAGCATTTAGGGATGGGCAATAAATACTGGCCTAGCCAGCGACACCCTCACCCCGTGAATGAATAAAGAGGAAAACAAGAACATTGCACAATGATGAGTGAACATCCCCACTTCTGACTGTATGATGAAGCAACTGAAGATGGTTGGAACTAGGACACTACCCTGAGGAACTGTCTTGTGACACAGTGGTAATGTTCTACCTCTTAGCCAAGAGGCCAAGGTTCAAGTCCCGCCTGCTCCAGTGGTGTGAAGTAACATTTGAGCAGGTTGATTAGAAAATATCGACCCTGAGGAACTCCCGCAGAGATGTGCTAGGGCTGAGATGACAGACCTCCAATGACCACAAACCATCTTCTTATGTGTCCTATATGACTCCAACCAGCAACAGTTTACCCCAATCCCCATTGTTTTGCTAGGGCTCCTTGATATCACACTTGTTCAAACATGGCCTCGATGTCAGGTGCAGTCACTTTCACCTCACCTTTGAAATTCATTCACAGGATGTGGGCATTGCTGATCGTTATCCATCCCTAATTGCCTGGATTGCAGTTAACAGTCAACCCTATTGCTGTGGGCCTGGAGTCACATGTAGGCCAGAGCAGGTAAGGATGGAAGTTTCCTTTTCTATGGATAATGGTGTCATAATCATTAAATTCTTATTTCCAGATTTTTATCGAAATCAGATTTCACAATCTACCATTGTGGGATTTAAACTTGGGACTACAGATTACTTGTCTAGCAATAATACCACTGGGCCATTGCCTCTCCCTGAACCCTAGAATATTGGCTGACTGGAGTTTTCATGATTGAGAAGGACACATTTTTATTAAAGGGGTCATGGATCAAAGGCAGGCTAATCGGAATCGACATACAGATCAGCCCTCAGTAAATCAGACTGCTGAATGCCCTCCTGCTATCCCAATGTACAGAGAGCATCACAGAGACAATTAACTGGTGGCATCAATAGAGAACTGCATCTCTGCTGCTTGGGCAGGTTTAAATACATGTGGAGCCTGCTGTCTCCCAGTCACACAGGCCTAGCTTATGGCCACTGGCATAGTGTCTATGCTGAACCCAATGCACTGATCGTCCTGACACACACTGCTGCTATAGAGGCTGCAATCTGCAGGCTCCAATCTACAAAGTCCATTAACGCTCCACAAATTGCAATTGGGACAATCAAGGAAGAAGGATACTTCCATGTGTTTTTGTAAAATTTCTTCCATGTGTTATTTAAAAATCAACCTGTTCAGACTTAGCTCCGTCACAGATTGAACCCAAACGTTCAGACCCAGAGGCAGAGACTCAGTGCGGCATGGGTCCTTGCCAGCCGATGGAATTTAAATTCGTACGAATAGGAGGCGGCCATTCGGCCTGTCAAGTCTGCTCTGTCATCGGTGTTCCTGTTGCATTATTCCTGTCACCACGTGGAACTCTGTCTGTGCAGGCCAGCAACTTTCAGAAGCAGAAATCAATATGTCCATACTATAATCGGTATGCGTGAGGTGGCTCCAGAGCTTAGAGGGAGCATTGCCTGCTCTTCAATACAATCATGGCTGATCAAACACTTCAATACCTTATACCCAGCCCATCCCCGTAACCCTGTATACCATTGGTAATGAGAGACCTATCAATCTCTGCCTTAAACATTCTCAAATGACTTCCTCAACCCTCTGGGCTAAAGAATTCCAAAAGGTTCACAACCTTCTAACTAAAAAATTCCAGAATTGAGAGCTAGTATCAGCAATGATCACCAAAAATTTATTGTCAATTGCTGTAAAAGCCCTTTGGGTCCATTAAGGAAGGAAACGATCATCCTCAACTGGTCTGGCTGACATGTGACTCCATACTCACAGCAATGGGGTTGACTCATATCTATCCTCCTAGTCTGAGGAAGGACATGCTTGCTAATGAGGAAGACCAGCGAAGGTTCACCAGACTGATTCCCACGATGGTACAACTGACATATGAAAAAAAGACAGGATCGTCTGGACTTGTACTCACTGGAATTTAGGAGAATGGGTGGGGAGAATCTCACAGAAACATAAAATTCTGATGGGACTGGGTAGGCTAGATGCGAGAAGTGTTCCCGATGTTGGGAAAGTCCCAAACTAGGGTCACAGTCTAAGGGGTAAGGACATTCAGGACTGAGATGAAGCAGAATTTTTTCACTCAGAGTTGGGAACCTGTGGAATTCTCTACCCCAGAAAGCTGTTGGGGTCCAGGTTGTTAGATATATTCAAGAGGGAGCTGGATGTACCCCGTGTGGCTAAAAGGATCAAGGGACATGGAGAGAAAGCGGGAATGGGATACAGAGATTGCATGATCATATTGAATGGTGGTGCAGCCTGGAAGGCCCTATACCTATTTTCTATGTTTTTGTGTCCTCTGAAATGGCCTGAAGAGCCAGTCTGATTGAGGGCATTTAGGGATGAGCCCCAATGAGGTCCTTTCCCTAGCGCCATCCATATCCTACATGTTAAGAAAAAGAAAATTCCAAGTTAAAGTTTGTTGGTGGCCATCCTCTACACCTGGTTCTTCTGCATGGTGGGATATTGAATGCTTGCAAGATGCTTTCGAAGTAACCTCAGCATGTTGTAAATACACACAGCAGCATTGGTACAGCAGTGATACAAGTGGAGTGCCTTAGAAGTGAAAGCAAGCAATGAGCAATTGTAGCTGGAGCTGCATTAGGACGAGAGAAACTGTCGAGGTGCCTGCTGGGTAGGTTTTCGGTAATACTGGAGTTGATTAAAAGTGTGGGGAGGTTTATGTGGCAGAGAACATATATCATGAGGAACAGATGGATAAATACAAAATGATGAGATTAGGAGGGGGCTAGTGTGGACTCTGAGCTCAATGGCCTGCTTCTCTGCACATTAGTAGAGAAAAGATATCTCTCAAAATCAGACGGATGTGGATGGGATAAAGAGTGAAAATATGTTACCATTCATTAAAGGATGGAGATCGAGGGGGCACAGATTTAAAATAATCGGTAAAAGCAGCAAAAAAAAGTGACTGGAGGACAAATCTTTTTTCAAACAGCATGTGGTTAGGGTGTGGGATGCACTGTGAGAGAGGCAGGTTCAATCAAGGCTTTTGATAAGCAACCAGTCTATTATCTGAAAAGGAAGAATGCGCAGGGATACGGGGAAGAAAGGCACTAAATGAATTGCTCATTCAGAGATCCAGCACGAATACAGCAGGTCAAATGGCCTCCTGTGCTGTAACTATTCTGTGAAATCCCAACGATATCCAACATCCTGAAGAACAAATGCAACAACAAAAAAACAAAATCCTCCAGTAACTCAGACCCCAATCATTTTGGGATTCCTAACTGTGAGACCCAATGCTGAGGCACAGGCACCAAGACTTAACAAATGCATTCTTGAGTCCGCCTTGTACATTGCTCTCAAGTCTTGATGAAAATCCACCTTCGCTCGGCTGGAAATGGGTGCACTCACTGAGAGCCACAACTTCACTGGATTTGAGTAACCAGAGGACACTGATGAAAGAAAATTTAGGGACAAGATTCACTAAAATTCACTTTATTTAAAAATCATTGCATTCAGACAAATTTTACATTGAGTGTCTTTTTTTTATACATTTTAAACATAATTTAAGAGGAGCTGCTTGACTGAGAAACATGTTCAGGAAGGAGCTCTCCAACAGAAATAGTCATGATTTTTGTGTTACCAATAAACACATTTCCTGCAAAGGGGAAGGCGGGGAGGGAAAGCGGGAATTTGAGATTAAAATGACACTCTGTTTTGAGGAAGAAACTCCAGTCTGTTCAACCTCGCTCTGTTTCTCTGCCCTGGATGCCGCTGACGTATATTTCGAGTCTCAATCCTCTCAAAACATAGCAAAGATGCACTAACAAATACGGGATATCGTTCCCTACAAGCTAATTCACCAAGTTGCATTCGGTAAAACGTTGGCCTCAAAAAAAAATCAGGGCTCCACGTTTTCATCATTAGGAAAAAAAACTAACAGGAAACTGGAGTATACTCAGTAAAGAATTGAGAGACGGTGGGCAGTGAACACATCAAAACAAAATCTTTTTTAAAAAATTAACAAAAAAACACTTTACATATCCACATTGTTCAAAATTACATCTTCATGATTCCAAATGCATTGCCTGGAGCAAGTTGCCCCCAAGAAGTTCAAAGGGGTTGAAAGTTTAGGGGAACAAGTTGGAGGTTGGAAGGGAGCAAAGGTTAGGTAGTGACTAAATCAGACAGACCGGCCTGTAATCACCATCTGTTGTAATGATCCAAAACTGGATCCTATCAATCCATCTCTGGAAGGTAACAAGGTGAAAGTTCAAGAAGCTGGTATGGAATCAGTCCTTAGATCTTGTACAGCCTTCCTTCACCCCCATCCCCCACCTCTATACAAATCACACATCAAATCTTGCTTTCCCCATGTCTGCTGCATTTTACCCTGTACAAATCCTGTTTGGTTTTTAAAGTGGGAAAGGGACTAAATCAAAGAGGGCCTGTCACACAGTTAACACAAGGCACGTCATATACAGTCCCTTAATAATTTATTTCTTCCTCCAGTTAATACAGGTGTTGATCCCCAAAGTATTGCTGTTTTTAGAACCTGAATCCCATGAAAATCAAGTTTGGTTTAACTGTTCTATTTCAGTAGATCCAAATCCAGACATGGGCAAATGTGCCTTTAGGCTAGATTTTCCCCAGGAGTGGCACATGCAGAGTGTCACTCTGCTCCTTTCCACATAACAAGCTTCTGATCCTGAAATGCTTTTATTCTGACAGGTCCCTAATGGGCAAAACAGTCAGGGGAAGGCAAACTACACTTTTCTTTCCCACCACTGTCAACTGCTGTATTCCGTCATTTAAAACAGGCAGTGCCTTTGACAGCAAAAGAATAAGGTTAAGGTACCGGGAGGGTAAGGGTTAGGATGCCAAGTGGGTAGCGCAAGGTAAAAAGTGGCAAAGTAAGTAATGGCGTATTTAGGATAAGGGGTGAAAAGGAGACACTGGACCTGGTGGCAAGGGTGGGTGTGCCTGCCTGTGGTGGGGTGGTGGCAAGGAATGGTGAGCTTTGGTGGCAGTGCAGGGAGTGGGTGCCAGGGGAGCATGGGGTCAAGGTCTGGGTTGGTGTAGTTGAGGATGTGAGAGATATGTTTGGGTGAGGGGTGAGGGTAGTCAGTAACTAGGAGTTAGGCAAGGTATTGAACAGTCACTTTTCCTCTAACTATTTAACTTCGCTGCAATGGAACCCACCGCGTTCTCACTCTCAGATTTAAATGGATACTTTTGGGGATCAGGGAAATAGCCAAGCAGAATCCCGAATTTCCCAGGCAATTCCCTCGAAGTTGGGGTTCGTTCTGCAGGGTCCTTGGCCCCACTTTGCATCTACTCAGCTGAAACAAATAACTGGAAAATCTGGGCCATTGCTGATCATCACAGGGATTTCAATCAATGCATTAAAATATCAAAGGCACCTCTGCAGCCCTATCCGCTTGTGTATGGCTCCAGCAAGGTGTTTCATCATTATCTAGGAGGTGCCATCATTACAGGAAGCAAATTTGAGCAGGATCAGTGCAGTGCCCTTCCTAGCCCCTTGGGGGAAAACGGGTGAAGACCAGAGGATGAGGGCAAGGACACGGGGCTCAGTGAGCACAGTTCTCATAAAGAGCTGAAGTAGCAACTGGCAAAGCTTGTAATTTGGGAACAGCACCAGAGAATGGTTATGAACAGACAAGGGCAACAGACCAGATACTTGCTGATCGTCTTGGTTACAGTTTGCATTATGCATCAGCACCTGGTGCCTGGCAAACATGATACTGGCCTATGTTACAGCAATGACTTGTTATTGCCTTTCTATCAAACTCCAGCTCAATCTGACTGAAGCCACCGGAGAATGCCGTGAATGAAGACTAGAGCCATGATGACAAGCACCAGTTTGGGGGTATTTCCTAAAGCAAACATTAAAAGGTGTCTAACTGGTGATATTGGTAGCACAAATATCTGTGTAGCTGTGCCAGGCACCCTGGTATGTTCTCTGGAAGGCAACATGTGGGTCAGTTCTCAATCCCCTCAAAGCCAAAGCCCATTCACATCATTTCCAATCTCCAGGTGTTCAGTGAAGGACACTTCAGAAGAGGTAATAGGCATTTGTGTAACGTGTCTTCTATATTATGAAGGACAAGGTCATTTATTCAATGAAGGCCCCAGATAAATGGTCCTCAAATCAGTATCAGGATTGGCAGGAGGGCGAGAAGACATGAGGGGATAACCGAGATATTAACCAGAGGCCTCGCCAATAAATACAGTCAAAGAAGCTGCAGGCTGTTATTGTAAAGGTCTTGGTACCTGTGGACAAGAGGAGCAACCTCCTGTTGAATTATCTGAACTCTACATATTTCAATGCAATAAAAACACAATTCAGCCTTGTTGGATTCTACACTGACTGCACCTCAAAACAACCAGAGTTAGCACAATAATCAGCTGCTGTATGAGTCTGTAAGATGTTTGGGACGAGGGGGAAGAAGGGATGTTGGAACATCAGAGACCCAAGCTCAGGCCTTGGTGCTGAACAGGGGGAAGCATGACCATCCAGTTCCTTCAGGTGGAAGGCATGTTGGGGGGAAAAGGAGGGGCAAAAGGCGCAGGAGGTTAAAAAGCAGCATTGACAACAGTAACGTCCCATCCACGTTCAATATGGAACCCCTTGGGCGTGTAACCCAGGCGTTGTACCAATAGCACCCGTGGGTGGTACAGGATTGGGGTGAGGTGACCCAAGACTGGCCAGGCCTCCACCCCACGGTCACGATGAGGGTTATATTTTTCTCTGTGGCTGGAAGAGGCATAAGAGGAAAACAAAGCGCAAAGGGATGGCTACGGGGATTTGGAGGGCGGTGGCGGTAACCAAAAGGTAGTGCAGAAGAAAGCCTGGGCATGGAGCTGCAGGTGAATCGATTGTGTTTGTTTTGAAATACAGGAAGAAGTGACCCCAGGCTTCCTTTGTTCTGTAAGTGACGCTGGGCAGAGACCTCCTGGCCCAGGGTGGCCGTTATTCCACAACTTGAAGGTTCTGAATCACACTCGACTTAAAGAAACATCGTTTCAGTCTATAAATGTCCTAAGTTAGAAATTATTAATGAATTTTGTTGGGTGCTCCTAAAGAAAAAAAAGCAAATTTTTAACAAACAGCATTAAAAAGGGAAACAAACAATTGCTTCCCGGAGCTCAGACTCCGTATTCCTCAATGGAAAGCACTGTAGAATGACCATTGCATGACTCTTTTAAAATAAAAGTCACCTTCCATAAACTGCCAGTAGTAAAATGGCATCTCGCGAGCACCAGATCATGAATATGCCTTTCATGCATAGATCCCAGAATTGAAGGCATCTCTAACTCACTCCCAACTCCTTCCAGCACTGACACGGCCTCCCTCCAGCACATCCAGCCAACTGCGACGGGGCTCAACCAGGCCTGGATTCTCCTTCGTGTCTCCCAACCGGGGTCAATCCTGGTAGAGCTGTCCCTGCTTTCATGGTCATCTGGTTACAGGGTCCTAGCGGACTGGGATCCACACCGTGACGAGTAACAGGCCTTTAACTCCAGGAGGCTGCATTTTAGCCAGTTTCTGGACTCAAGAGTAGGAGGTGATTAACACATGGCATAAACATGTTAAAAACTCAAGGGGTGTGCGTGTGTGTGTGTGGGGTGGGGGGAGGGGGGCAGGGGGACGGGGAGGAGATTTGAGTTAACAAACCTGTCATCCCACACCCTCATGTTATCAAAGTTCTTGCGCCCTTCCATCTTTGGAGGGCATCTCTCTCCTCAAGTGCTTGACTTAGGATTTTTTTTAAAGCAGTTTTTGCATATTCTAAACATACATCTGTAAGCTCGGGACTTAATAAGACAAAAACCTCACAGCCTTTCATATCGTCAGAAGTGAATACAAATGGCAGACAGATCTCCGCATGACCCCCTAACTCCCAAAAACAAATTAGTTTATTAGTATGTACCAACTCCTTTTTAAGATAATCTGTTTTAACACTGTTGACTCGACTCTCAAATGTCACTACAGTACCTTCAATAAATATTGTTCCGTACCTAACACAGAACAAAAATTACACTGAACAATCCCCACACATTTACTACCCAATTGCTAGTTAATATTTTCACATAATAGATCCCCACCCACCCACCCCCCAGCCAAAGATTCCCAGGGTACAGCCCACAGCCAATTCTCTGCCTCAGTAACAAAACATGCGGTAGCTGGTCTGGCCTGCTGAGCATCACAGCACAGCAGAACTTCCAACAGCAGGCCCACCCTAAAACTTCACTGCCAATCTGCAACCAAAGACAGTTTTTGGGAACTGGGGATTTTGAATGGAATCTGGCATTGGATTGGGTCACTCGGTTCCAGGATTCCAGAACAGTGACACACTGCTGAAAGGGTCTGCAAGAATCCCACTTGGCCAATGGCTCCCCACGCCTCAAGGCAAAATATGACAAGATCGCTCCCTCCACTTATCTCTGACCACAAAGTTCGCATCAGGTCCTCGTAAAGAACTGACTTCCACCTCTGGCTAACAAAGCATCTGTTCCAGAAAACAGATATTGACCCTGATTATCAGTTTAATGTATAGAAGCCAGCAACGGTTTTGAAGGGGACAGTCATAGTGCTCCTTTGCACATCAGTAAACAAAATGTTCACCTTCTCAGCGCTCTCTCCAAACGGCTGACTCGCTTGTTTACATATAAACATATTTTTCAAATCCAAGCTAAATTTATAAAATGACACTGACTGAAAACCTGTGCTGGGAGGGGGTGCTGGACGTTCCAGACCAAATTTCAATGAGACAATAAGCCTCTGCTCGTGATGGTGATAAAGCTATGTCATAACCATAGGAGTCTGACTGAACGAGAGACTTATTTTTATACTAAAACCCCACTATGAAGCTAACAGTTTCACCAATTTAACGGCACTTCTGTTAAACTGTTGCTACCAAGTCAGATTTGTTCACATAAGGGGTTAAATTCAGAGACTGTTAAGGAGATAAAGGTGAGTTAATGGCACTAATCCAGTCTGCAATTGTAGGGTCTTCTATTGACTCCTTTGGAACAGCAGCTCAATTATTAAATCTCCATTACTTCAAGAGAGATGGTACTGGGATTAATCGGGCGAGCCTGGGTTGAGCCATATACATTGCAGAAAATGGCTGGGACCCATACCTGCATTTGGGTGGGGCGTAGGATAGAAACCAGTGGGTGTAATTCCTAGAAAGCGAGGTTTTGTTGAGGTTAGAGGTAAAGCTACTTGCTTCTGGGCAAGGAACAAACTCAACTGTAACAGTTAAAGGCACGTCAGGGTTAGCAGGGCGGCAAGTGTCTATGGGGGAGTCCATATGTATTTTCCTATTAAAAAAGCCAAGCTGAGTTAATCCACTTGGACAGCTGAAATTTGTAACAGTTAGAAAGTGGTTAGACTGCTTGATGCATATCAGGGGGCTTTGCATTAAGTGAGGGCAATGTGCTCACTGACTGCTGCAATGGGCAGGCACTTGGGAACCAGCGTATGGGCCTCACAGCAGCCAGTACAAGCAGGAGACCCGGCCCCGTCTGGATGATTCGAGGTGTTTTTCCTGGCCTGCCACAGCACACCAGCTTGGGCCACTGTCAGGTCTTCAGGGGAGGCCTGGTAAGCAGGTAGTGCCACTGGTGCTCTACCATAGCTGGCACGACTGGTCCATGTAAGCAGGACTGAGACCCCTCATGCATCAGTTGGACTGGCACAATACTGTTCACAGGCCCACAAGAACCTGCAGGAGGTTTGTAAGGAGGTTCCATGATTTGTCAGAACATTACCACGGACATTTTAAAAAGAATGTTTTCAGACGCACTGCTAGTAACAAAACAAATCCACACTTTCACCATGAATATTGACAAAACAAAAAAAATTCATAACTTTGGAAAAATCCACTGAGTTTACCTTGAAACATTTCCCCTTCTGGCAGATCTCTCCACCTCCCCCACCCCCCAAAAGCCCTGGATTAGTCAGCTCGACAATGATCCTGGGGTTGAACCAGTGAGCTCTGCTCCAGAGAGTTCACTCAATGACTTGAACACCTCTGCCACAGCTGGATTGAGGGGGCCATCCAGTCAGGAACATGTAACATCAAACTCAGCCCCCTCTCCACCAGAGGAAAGGGAACCGCAACCAACCCACCACCCACCCACCCACCCCCATTCTCCTCCCTGAACTGTGGACACTACTGGCTCTGGGCTGTAACAATGAGAACAAAATGGCAGAAATACCAAGGGGTCTGATCATTAAAACCAAATCATTGCGACCATCCTCCGCTGATATTGAAATGAACTGCAATGCCCAGGACTCCCCCCACCCCCGAGCCCGACTCCATCCCACCTTCAGCACTGTTCCTTCAACTCTCAATGACAATGTAGTACCAGCCAAATTATGAGTCTCCGAATTTGTTCTAACTGCTTTGCTTGTGCGCTTACCCACCTGCAAGGCTCCTTCCACCAGATATCTGCGCACATCGCACACATGCGCCTGGCAACTGTCTGTGTGTGCACACACACGCCTGGCAGGTGTGACGCCTGGCAAATGTGTACACGCGCGCGCATATGCCTGGTGTATGCCTGCATGCAGACCTGCATGTCTGCTGGATTCTGCGTGCATACATATCCAACGGACCGATAACTGAAATATTTTGAAATGATGCTTTTACAAAAGAAAAAGGGAAACATTTGAACAGTGACACACTGTGGTGCGAGTTCATGGCTGGCATTGACTGAGGGGAGGACCACCCTCGCTGTACAGATGTCTTTTTAAAATATGCACAAACGTCCCATACTGTGGCTCCTGCAGCAGTGGAACAATCACTGCAAGTTTGCTGCTGTTTACTATGTACATCTATGTTTTAAAAAAACACAATTTCTAGAGTGAAAACGAACTGGTAGTGAATTTCCATACAGTGGAGCCTTGCAGTTCCTGGGACTCCGAAGGTGGTAGCTGAAGACAGATGACGGAAAAGGTGTGGAGTTTTGGGATAATGTAGTTTTGCCTTCTCCAGATCTGGAAGAGAATGTCCTGGGTGGTTTTACTTTTTGGTATAATTGAGGGTTTATTCTCGCACGCTCGCTGAGTAGGAGAACTGGGGGAAGTGTGCTTTCTGATCACTCTCCATCAGGTCCAAATTGTCGACTGTAGGGAGACAAAAGAAAAACATCCACAATGAAAGGAAAAAGCAAGGCTGGGGTAAGAATTGCTCTGGGCCCTGAAACAAACTGTGCAGCTGAAAATGCCAGGATCCTTCTGCTAGTGTCCCCAGCAAATCAACTGCTGGGGGAGGCAAATGGGGTCTCCTAATAGACGATGGGTTGACAAAGCAGCTAAATGGGAGAGCTGTGATGTCTGCTCTGCAAGCTGGCAACCTGCTATCAGGCCACGTGAAGCCAATTCAACACATTAACATGGCGCTACTATTTAAGGAAAGCCAGAGAACTACAGATCAATGAGACTGGCATTCATGGTGGGTAAGTTGTAGAAATGGATTCTGAAGGGAAGGATTTACTTGTATTTGGAAGAAAGGACTGATTAGGGATAGTCAACATGGCTTTGTATGTGGGAAATCGTGCCTCACTAACTTGACTGAGTTTTTTGAAGTAACAAAGAAGATTGATGAGGGCAGAGCGGTAGACGTTGTCTATATGGACAAACGTTAACAACTTTCTGTTCAACATGCTCCTCTGCACTGAAGAACTTGCACAACTGAACGTCTTCTGCTTCAGTGGAAAGACCAAATTGCAAACACTTCAAACTAGTGTCAACGTTTCATTTCTGCCTTGTCGCACTTCAGTGAGCCAACTTCAGGCAGCTTTTCTGGCCTCTCAGTAACTGACTCCTCTTATGTACAATGAAAGTTTTTTAAACAAAATAAAGCTAAAGCATGTCCACATCTCACATTTGCTTGATTTGATTTTCCCACTGAATAACTTCATTCAACAGTTTACACTTTTAAGACTTTATCTCAGCTCAAGAACATAAGTTTCCATCTTTACTCCAGAAATGTCTAAGTGCACTTTCATTAATTCCTTTGCATTCAGAGCATGCAATCTGCATTAAAAAAGGGTGGGGACTGAGAAGAATCCTTGGCTTTCCTTCCAAATAACTTTCAAAACAATTTCAACAAATTTCCTTTGAGGCAACTAAGAACATTTATCTAAAATCAACACCAGAGAACAACCAACTAGATGTTTCTGCAATTGTGGTTGCTTTGTTTGACTTTCTTGCTTCTCAAGGCATACAATATTCGGAGAATAGACTATACTTTACATCACTTGCCTATAGTTCAGTTGAAAAATTCAATACAGGAACTATTTACCTAAAAGGAAAATGAAAGCGATTTGTGGGCATTTGTAATAGGATAATAAATAATGGTGACACAACCGAATTGTCATCCTAGCTGACAGACGACAGTCAATCAATGGTTCAGGGTTCTCTTTTGCCCTTTTATGAAGCAGTTAACGTGGAGAAGGAACCTCAAACAAAAATGGAACAAACTGAATGGGTCCAGTTGACTCACCAGGTCAGCATGTGGTTTCAATACTCACATTTATCTGGGGGGGTGACTGTTATCGTCTCTGCTGTGAATTCATCATCAAAATATCGTGTGTCTGTCTCAGAAGACACTTGGGGTTTGAATGGAGGCACAAGCTGTTATTTGGAAAGGGAACAGTAATAAGAGAAATTAGCTTAGTGCAAGCATGAACACGGCATCATTCCAAAACTCCCCCATGCTGAAAAGCTGCAAGAGATCAGGACAAAGATCTACCTTGGTTTTTTTTTTATTTATTCACTTGTGGAACACGTGACACTGGCTGGACCAGCATTTCTTGCCCATCCCTAGTTGCCCTTGAGAAGGTGGCGGTGAGCTGCCTTTTGGAACTGCTGCAGTCCATTTGATGTTGGTACAACATTAGGGAAGTTCAGGACTTTGACCCAGCAACACTGAAGGAACAGCAATGTATTTCCAAGTCAGGATGGTGAGTGGTTTGGAAGGGAATTTGTCCTTCTCAATGGGAAGTGGTTGAGGATTTGGAAGGTTCTATCTCAGGATCTTTGGTGAATTTCTGCAGTGCAACTTGATGGTACGTGCTACTGCAACTGAGCGTCAGTGGTGGTGCAAGTTTGTGGATGTGGTGCCATTAAAGCAAAACGTACCGTATCCATCACCCCAGCATCATGGCTGACAGCAATCCACACCCCAGGCAGTATCCTGTTTACTTGTACCACATTCTCCCTATTCACATCCCCCATTCCCTGTGCAGCATTCTTTCGGGCTTTCTTTAAGCCAGCATTTTCCCCCTCTACATCTCCCCTGCTCCCTGTCATCGCGCAACACACACATTAATCTGGGTGGCACCTACTCACATACACAAACCCAAAACTACAACAGAAAGTGCTGGAGAAACTCAGTAGCATCGGTGGAGAGAGAAACAGAGTTAATGTTTCAAGTCGAATACGACTCATCTTCAGAACCAAAGTTTTATTTTGAATTTCCAGCATCTGCAGTTTTTTTGCTTTCACACAAACCCCCAACTTCCCTTTACCCTGTCACACCCCCACCATACCCTGAGAAACATCAATACCACATCATGGAGAAAACATCTTGAGCAATTTGCAAAATGTTAGTGTACAACTTAACTGCCCGACGTCAAAGCAATCCAACTCGGAGAGATTCCTGATCCAAAGCTTTCAGGCTGCTTTGGGAAGATTTATTTGCAATAAATGAGGGAAGTCACATACGAAAACAGAAATTGCTGGAAAAGCTCGGCAGGTCTGGCAGCATCCGTGGAGAGAAATCAGAGTTAACGTTTCGGGTCCGGTGACCCTTCTTCACTTCACAAATGCTGCCAGACCTGCTCAGCTTTTCCAGCAATTTCTGTTTTTGTTTCTGATTTATAGCATCCGCAGTTCTTTCGGTTTTTATGAGGGAAATCAAATACTTTGGTTCTCTCACCCGCTTCTCTACGACATCCTGCCAGTTAACCGGAACAAAGAATTTGTGATGCATGACTTCCTTCGCATCTTCAGGACCGCCTCCCAACCTGCAAGAGAGACAGTGGAGGTGAATAAAACATTGACTGTCCAACTCACCCTTCCTCAGTAGCCTTCGCCAGGTCCCTAATGCTCTTCAGGCCATTTCAGAATCCTCACCCTCACTGTTCATTGTTCCTCCCACAGGCTCACTCCTGCTGACCACTGCAACCTGCTTCAGGCTCATTTTTATACCCTCTACTCTTTTGAGTGGCGTCCTACTTCTCCGCTTAGGTTTTAACCTTGTACAGCTCAGGACTTGCACCTTCTGAAGCTAGTTCCCTCCTCGCCATCCTCAGCTCTTTCAAAACCCTTTTCAATATTTCTCGTTTTTGGCTGGCTCTTTGAATCCTCTTCCCAGCCTCATTTTTGCATCTGGCTATTTCCACCAGGATCTCAGGTGATCAGTTACATTGAAAGCCCTGGCTGGAGGCAAATTGTTGATGAGCAGCCTTCTATCAGACGAGATGATTGTACAATGTGCAACCATCAGACACTAAATACTAAACCTCAAGACATGATAAAAGGCAAAAACAATGCGGTATGTGTGCTTGGGAGGGGCAGGTGACATTTGACCTATACTTCCTGAAGATCTCCACCAGTAGTTGGTGGGGTGGGGAACGACTGTAAATCTTGTCACATGTTTGGGTCTGTGGTAAGCTATTTTATGAAAATGGTCACACAGCAGGAGGCGGCCATTTGGCCCATTGCATCTGCCCTGCCTCTCAAAATAAACAATTTACTTAGTGCCATACATCACATTCTTCCCGTGACTCTGCACATTCTTCCCGTGACTCTGCACATTCTTCCCGTGACTCTGCACATTCTTCCCTTTCACTTCACAGTCTAGTGCCATTTTAAAAGCCTTGCTTGAACCTGCCGCTGCCACGCTCTTGGCCAGAGCATTCCAGACACTAAGCACTAACTGCTAGAAGTGGTTTTGCCTTGTGCTGCTGCTTTTGCTCCTTTAACCAATTATTTTAAATCCTAGCCCTTTCATTCTCCATCCTTTAACAAGCTGCCACAGCTTCTCCCTCTCTAACCAGTCAACACTCTTCCTGATTTTGAAGACACTAAAAGATCTCCCCTCAGGCTTCTCTACTCCAAAGTAAACAGTCCCACCCTCTCCGATCTATGTTCGTAATTCACCCCAGAACCATTCCTGTGAAGTGTTTCCAATGATTGGTTAATAACTCTGTTATTATCAGACCATGAAGCTAATATGACCATACAGGTCATATTAGATAGGGGCTCATTTTTCTTCCTCCTGAAATCAAATGTTCCCACTCTAACATGGACCATCAATGGCAAGGCCAACATTTGTTGCCCATCCCTAATCGCCAATGAACTGAGAGGCATGCTGGGAGAATTTCACGGGGTATCCAAAAGTCAACCGCATTGCTGTGGATCTGCAACGATAGGTTAGCTCTTTGGACCCTAGTACCAGTTCCTCAAAGTTATTCCTTTCTTCAAATGGCTTGCTGAGTTTACTGATGGGAGGCTGAACAGATGTGGAGGCTGCATATAACTCATTCCAGAATTCATTCCAAGAACTAGCGCCCTAACACTTTGCAGAGCAAGATGAACATCAAGTGAGGTTAACTGTGAGCTAGGGGCCAAGAGTTGAGGGAACAGCATTTCTGCAGCTGAAAGGTGAGTGACCATTCTGACCATGCAGCAGTCTGGGTCAGATTCAGCGGCTGCTGCTATGTGTCGTGACTTTATTCCATGTTCCCGTTTCTTCTGCTCGATCTCAGAAGGCACTAACTGGCTCTGGGCTACAGATTCCAAATCTAAGAGCCACCCCTCACTCACTCTTCATCAGTGAGTCTAGGCACAGTAGTGGTAGACACAGTCACCAGACTGTGATCAGGACTGGAAGTCAAGTGTGTATTTCTCCCCTGCTGGTAACTTTTCAGATCACTGGACTCACCATAGTCCAGAGATCCAACCTGAGATCTTCTTGATCCACAACTCAGCCCTGAAGGAATCTCCTGTAGCCACTATTCACTCACTCGGACACGTGGCATGCTGTAAGTCAGCAACATTAACTACATTTATATAGTTCCTTTAATTTAGTAAATCAAGGCACTTCCCAGGATAGGTTAGCAGACAAAATTTTACACCAAGTCAATAAGGTGTCTAAAGGCTTGGCCAAAGAAGGATTCACTGATTCAGGAATGTCATAAATCAGGAAAGAGAGGTTGAAGGAGGGAATTCCACAACTTAGGGCATGTGAAGGCGCAGCCACCAACAGTGGAGTGAAGGAAGTCAGAGATTCTTGAAAAACATAATCTGGGTCCCAGTTAAAGGCCATCAAGGCACAACGAATTGTACTGAGCAGCAAGTAGAAGATTACCAAACCCCAGGGCCTGGAGCCCCAGGTTCAAGTCCCGCCTGCTCCAGAAGTCGGCCATGATATCTCTGAACAGGCTGACAGAAAATATCGAAAAGAAATGACTGCAGCTCAGTGTAATGAATTACAATCACTACTGGGCATAAGTTCTCCTTCAAAATAAAAAAAGATGATTCATGCAATACTAGAATGATTACAACACTGACCCTGTTATAGGAAGGATGTTGTGAAACTTGAAAGGATTCAGAAAAGATTTACAAGGATCTTGCCAGGGTTGGAGGTTTGAGCTATAGGGAGAGGTTGAATAGGCTGGGGCTATTTTCCCTAGACAGTCAGAGGCTGAGGGATGACCTTATAGAGGTTTATAAAATCATGAGGGGTATGGATTGGGTAAATAGACATGGTCTTTTCCCCAGAGTGGAGGAGCCCAGAACTAGAGGGCATTGGTTCAAGGTAAGAGGGGAAAGATTTAAAGGAGACCTAAAAGGCAACATTTCCATGCAGAGGGTGGTGCGTGTATGGAATGAGCTGCCAGAGGAAGTGGTGGAGGCTGGTACAATTACAACATTTAAAAGGCATCTGGATGGGTAGATGAATTGGAAGGGTTTACAGGGATATGGGCTAAATGCTGGCAAATGGGACTAGATTTATCATAGGATATCTGATCAGCATAAACAAGTAGGACTGAAGGGTCTGTTTCCGTGCTGTACATCTCTATGACTCTAGTTCCCCTTTAGCCATTGCCGCTATGTGCAGTTTAACTCCAGGCTTACTTTTGTCATTGCAATTCTGCAGAGAATGGAGGAAAGAGGGAGAGGTTTGAGGACAGCATAAGCAACAGCTTACTACAACCGAGGTCACTTGGCAGAGGTAGTCTGACTGAGCTGGACACAAATTGCTGCACAAACTATTGGGAGCTGTGATCTGAATGGCCTTCACACGGGAGACTTTGTGAATCTTACCTTTGTTTGGGGTCTTTCTTTAAGAGTCCCGAGAGGAGCGATTTGGCCTCAGGGGACAAGGTGCGGGGAAACCGGATTTCTTCCATAAGGATCAGCTCAAAGAGTTTCTCATGGTCCTGGTTGTAGAAAGGCAGTCGCCCGCACATCATCTCGTACATCACCACGCCAAGCCCCCACCAGTCTACAGCCCGACCGTAGTCATTGTCCTCCAGTACCTGGTGTGGGACGAGAGTGGCCATCAGGGTAACGCTGGTCAAAACAAGCAACTCCACTGCATCTCCTGCCTCTGTGGCCTAATGGATTCTAACATGTTGTTGTAAAATGGCTCTAACCTCCCTGCCTTCACTACAGCAGTGAAACTGGGTGGCTGCAGTAACAAAAAAAACAAAGAAATAAAAACAACCTGCAATCCAAGTCAGAGAAGGCCAGAGGACATTCCCTTTCTTGAGACGGTGCAAGCTGTGCCCTCAGTCTACCCCTGAAGAATTACTCTGGACCAAGGAGATTTGTACAGCAGCACAGTGGAGGGAGAGAAGGTAAAGTCACCAATAACGCACATTCCACCTCCCCTAAATAGAAACAAGTTTGAAGTTCCCGGATCTGTTATTGAGGAATGGGTGTCAATATCTTTGCCGTCTGCTCAGACTATAAATCAGAGCTTCAAGTCCATCCTAGCTACCAAACTGTGGGGAGGATGGAGAAACAGAATAAAAGCAGTTGTCCAACCTAGTCAGCTCTCTTTCTCTGGGGCAGCAGGATCAACTAAGAACACAGGACCTCCAAAGAAAGCCCACAGACTCATCTGGAATTCCATACTGCCCAAGGGAACATAGTCCATGCACTGTAAACTGATGACAGCCCTATTCGCCAATGATGCTCTTGCTGGTCAACTGTAAGTGCAACCTGGTCACAGAGCCGAGAGGTGGATCCCCAGTTTCCAAACCTTCGAGGAAACCCCCCACTCAATCCCTCAAGGACAGTTTGGGACAACGCGGCCATTGCTCCACAAAGCAGAAAATGAGGAACAGCTCAAACAGTGACAAGAGTCAGGGCATCCCCCACTGACTGAACTCCCTCCCTCAGACATCCATTCCCAGTGCGAACAGAACCCTCCATACTGTGCCAGCTGAAGCTGGTAAACAGGCTGCTACGCATCACTCAGAATACAACCGCTTCCCTGGGCATGTCAACTGTAATAAGGGAGCAAGGCAAGCAGCCAGAAGACTACGAACGAACTCTTGATCTTTTTTTAACAAAGTGAAAGCCAACTTTGAGGCAGGTTTTGTTATGTTTCACAAGATTTATTGGTGAAGGGAAACAAGAGGTTGGATAGTCTCTCACCTCGGGTGCCAGATACTCTGGGGTTCCACAGAAGGTCTTCATGGTGGCTCCATCCGTTATCCCCTCTTTACAGAGGCCAAAGTCCGTGATCTTGATATGCCCATCTTTATCCAACATGAGGTTTTCCAGCTGAAACACAAATAACAGCAGACCCCAGAATTCAATGCTAACATTTCACAGAATCCCTACAGTATGAAAGCTGGCCATTCGGCCCATTGAGTCCACCACTCCTCCAAAGAGCATCCCAACCCCTAACTCTACCCCTATAAGCCTTCATTTCCCATGGCTAACCCACCTAGTAAGCACATCCCTGGCCATTATGGGCAATTTAGTATGGCCAATGCCCCCTAAACTGCATACCTTTGGATTGTGGGAGGAAACTGGAGCACCTGGAGGAAACCCACGCAGACACGGGGAGAATGTGCAAACTCCACACAGACAGTCGCCCAAAAGTGGAATCGAACCCAGGTCCCTGGTGCTGGGAGGCAGCAGTGCTAACCAATGAGCCACTATGCTGACCTAACATTTAACATTGTCATTTCTCTGCTATGGTGGTCATGCCTTTAATTGGGCCGAAGCTCTAGAATTCCCTCCCAGATCTCTCCTTTGTGACATTTTTAAAATACCATCCCTTTGACAAAAACCCTTTAAACATCCTTCCTAACACCTCAGTTTTTCCAGCATTGGGTTTTGTGCCAGTGATCAAGTATTTCCACATTAAAGATCAGTTCGGCATAATTTTGTTTGCATTGTAAAACCCAACCTCAATCCTTCCTCACTACACTTCCCTCGTCCACATCTCCAACTATTTTAATACAATGCGATACTCGTGGATCTGCGGCACTTCACAGCCAAATACCAACCTTCAGATCTCTGTAGACGACATTCTTATCGTGGAGGTAATCCAGAGCAGACACAATCTCAGCCCCGTAAAAGCGTGCGCGATCCTCAGTAAAAACACGCTCTCTAGAGAGGTGGAAGAAGAGCTGGGGACAAAGGAAGGAGAGTAAACATCACATCACATGAACAGGAAGCGGCTACTCCTCTCCCAGTATGTCCTGACCCCTTCAAAGATTGAGGTACATGAACCTCAGGACCCTCCATTCCTGCACCCTCTATACTTCTGTGCCATCAAGTCTGTATTCTGCCAGAATGCATCACCCCACATTTCTCTGGATTCAATTCCTCTGGCACTTGTCTGGCAAGTTGGACAATTTTGAAATTTTACTTTTGTTCCAAGATCTAAGTCATTTATACATAGCAACAAAAATAAAACCCCAAAACCACAATCAATGAACCTTGGGAGCCACCATAATGTTCAATCTTCAAGAACTGCCAACGTGGGGATCAGGTCAGCATTTATTGTTCATCCCTAATTGCCCAGAGGGCAGTTAAAAATCAACCCCATCACTATAGATCTGGAGTCACATGTAGGCCAGACCAGGTAAGGGCAGCAGTTTCCTTCCCTAAAGGACATTAGTGAATCAGATGGGTTCTTCCAACAGTTGGCAATGCAGTAGCTTCTTAATTCCAGACTTTTTTTTTTACTGGAATTCAAATGCCACCACCTGCCCAGATCCGCAGAACATTACCCAGGTCTCTGACTTAATAGTTTAGCAATGATACTAGGAGGACATCACCTTCCCTCTGTTGCTGTCTGCCCTTACATTGGTCATCCAGTTGGACCTCCTTATTCGATAAGCCTCAACTCCGTTAATCAGCCCTTTGTAAGTCAAAACAGTGAAAGATCCATATAGACAACATCTCCCACTTTTCCTGTATCAACCTTCTTTGATCCCTCATCAAATTCAATTTGATTAGTCAAACACAACCTGCCTTTTACAAATCTATGCTGGCTGTCCTACATTTATTCAAACCTCTCAAAGTGCCTGCTAATTCCTCCTGCTCTCCCGAATATGGATTCCAAGACCTCACCCAGCCCTGATGAGGGACTAATGGTCTGTGGTTGCTGGGATTGTCCTGGCATCCTTACTTGAATGAGTCTCATATCTGTCACTCTCCCTTGGAACCTCTGCTACACCTTCTGGATTGAAGATTGCAAGATTAAGGAAGCTTCTTAAGCTATCTCCAGCCCTGCTTCCAGCCTGGCCCAATGCCTCGAAGCATTTCACACCCTAATGAAACCTACTCCATTCCTTAATGCACATTACTATTTACATGCTGGTAAACTTTTGATTTCCCTTTATGTTCACGGCCATTCTGTTCTCACACACCTGCTTTGTGAATTTCACTTTCCTCTTCACCTCTCCTCTCAACTTATTGAATTTGACCAGGTTCTCATTTAAAGGATTCACTGACTTGTATCATACACCCTCTCCCTCTTTAATCCACCATAGTCTCCGTTTTACTTGTCAGTCAAGAAACCCTGAATTTGGTTCCCTTTCCTTTTGTCTTTTTGAGAATAGATGAGATTATACTTATACTGTCAGAGTCATATAGAACAAAAACAGACCCTTCAGTCCAACCAGTCTGTTCCAACCATAATCCCAAACCAAACTAGTTCCATCTGCCTGCTCCTGGCCCATAACTCTCCAAACCTTTCCTATTAAATGTACTTATCAAAATGTCTTTTAAACGTTGTAACTGTGCCCACATCCACCATTTCCTCAGCAAGTTCATTCTACATGCGAATCACCTTTGTCCTCTCACCTTAAAAACGTGTCCCCCGGTCTTGAAATACCCCATCCTTGGGAAAGGACACCTACCATTAACTCAATCTATACCCCTCATTATTTTATAAACTTCTATCAGGTCACCTCTCAACCTCCTATGGTCCAGTGGAAAAAGTCCCAACCTATCCAGCCTTTCTTTATAACTGAAACCTTTCACACCCAGCAACATCCTGATAAATCTCTTCTGAACGCTCTCCAGCTTAATAATATCCTTCTTATAACAGGGTGACCAGAACCAAATACAGCATTACAAAAGAGGCCTCACCAACGTCTTTACAACCTCATTGTGACTTCCCAAATCCTATACTTGAAGTGTCTGCCTCTTAAAGATCGTCTGTTTGTTCCTGTCGGTGTTCGGTTCCATTTTACGCTGGCTGACTACTTCCGCGTCACACTGAAATTAACCCTCTTCCAATTTAGAAGTTCAACTTTTGATTGTTTCTGGCTTTCCCTCAGTAGTAAGGTAAATCTTACAATACAATGACCACTCTTAAGAATTGCTCCCCCCCAAGTACTTGGTTCACTTGTCTTTTCACTCAGAATGCAGGCATTGCTCGTAGGCATTTATTACCCTTCCCTAGTTGTCATTGATGGTGAGCTGCCTTCTTGAACCACTGCAGTCCCGTATACCCACAAAGCTATGGGGGCAGTCCAGGATTTTCACTCAGCAACAGTGAAGGAATGGCAATACTTTTCCAAGTCAGAATGGTGAATGGATTGGAGGGGGAACTTGAAGATGATGTTCCCACGTATCTACTATCCTGATCCTTCAAGACAGTGGGGATTGTGGGTTTAGAAGGTGCTGGTCTAAGGAGCTGTGGTGAATTTCTGCAGTGCACCTTGCAAATGTCACACACGACCCACTTCGTATCCTTGTGCCACATGAGCTACTGCGGTTCAGAATGCAGCTCATCACAACCTTTACCAGAACAACTAGGGAGTGGCAGTAAATGCTGGCCCAGCTAGCAACGCCCACATCCTGCAAGCAAATATAAAACCTGTAGGCAATTCTCACAAAATTGGAGAAACAATACAGGTCGAGGAAAGGACACGTACCAACAAAATCCTTCCCCCTGTTGCTCAGAGGCGGCCCCAGGTTCGAGTCCCAGTCTGAGCCCTCTGGGTTTGTAGAAGGCCAGGGTGGAATCACACCACAGAACTAAATTTAAACGGAAATTTAGAGGCACTGGGTTCAATCACCCTCTGTACTGAGAAAGCTGATCTCAGTTAGCATGAGAACGGAGTGGCTGTGCCAGGTGCTTCTGCGAAGCCTCTCAGTCAATCACCACTGTCTGGGACTGGAGTCACAACTGGTCAGACTGTGTCAGGGAGGAGAGTGTTTGGGATTCTCATACGTAAGATTGGTGCCAGCCACAGATTATTGGGCTTATTCCATACAATTTTCACAACTTGACATCGTGGGATGTGCAACGTGATTTATGGTTTGTGCCCGATTGAGTATAATCAGCAGCAGGGGTTTACAATTCAGCTCCGTGCCTGAAGCTAGAACGGAGCCCTGTCTTCCGTCCTTAACCATTGTCCAGGGAGCTGGAAGATTTGACTGAATCCTTAAACTGTCGAAACTTGGCTGCCTGGTGGATGGGTTAGCCAACACACGCATTGTCTTTGGTAGGGAGAACAAGAACACCAGACGTGCGGGCTGGGTATCGGAGACTGCTGATGGCATCAGGTCAACGATGCAACCTGACAAAGTTGCTTCGGACAAGGACAGGGACCATCAGTGTCTGAACAAAGAGGAGAATGCCACAAACTTACCTCCCCGCCATTTGCATACTCCATGACAAAACATAACCGATCACTGGTTTGAAATGCGTACTTCAATGTCTGTGTCGGTGGGAGAGAGAGAAGAGAAATCATTGCAACATATCAGTAACCAGCAATTTCAGCATAAAGGTAAAAAAAAAACTTGCATTTATCTAGTGCCTTCCATGACTGCTGGAGGTCTCAGATTTCCAGCAAGTGTATTTTTGAGGTGTAGCTGACCTGTGCACAGTAAGCTCCTACAAACAGCAATGTGATAATGTAGACTATTTTTTGTGGTATTGGTTGAACCATAAATATTATTCAGAACAATGGTGACTTCCTCTTCTTCAAAATAGTGCCAGAGGATTATTTTCCATCCAAAGGGCCTTTGTTTAATAATGAAATTTTGTCTATTGTTTAAAGGGAGTGGGCGTCACTGGCAAAGCCAGCATTTGTTGCCCATCCCTAACTGCCCTTTCACTAATCGGCTCTCTTAGCCCTTTCAGAGGGCAGATAAAGAGTCAGCCACATCAGCGTGTCTGAAGTCGTATGTAGGCCAGAACGGGTAAGGATAGCAGATTTCCTTCACTGAAGGACACGAGTGAACCAAATGGGTTCGTTTACGACAATCAACAATGATTACACAATCACTTTTTTAAAAACTCAGTTTTAATTACAGATGTTATTACAGAGTTTGACAGTCATCATCTGCCAGTTTGGAATTCAAATCCACACCCCTGCCCCACCTCCGAAACATTAATCTAGGGCTCTGGAATACCAGCCCAGTGAGATTACCACCAGTTCACTGCTGCCCCTACAGCAGCATTCCCTCAGTCTGCGCTCGAGTATCAGCCTAAATTTTTGTGCTCTAAACCCAGTGCAGGACTTGAACCCATAATCTTCTAAAGAAGCAAAAAGTGTGATCCACTGGGTTGCAGCTGACAGATTGAAAGTAATGCAGCTGTTAGCATACAAATGGATATTTCAAAGGCATCCAATAATGTGCCACGTTGTGGACTTGTTAACAGACTGGAAGTGGACATGGAGTAAAAGGGCTCAGCGGAAGTGAAGATGTGAAATTGGATGAGGCAGAAAGTAAGGATAGCGCCGAATACTTGGACTGGAGGGAAGAACATACTGGTGTCCTCCAGAAGTTGGCAATACCACTGTACTTTGATATATAATATTAATTCCAACTTGGGTACACTTGAATATAGAATCGCAAAGTTTGCCAACAACAAAGGCAAAGTGGTAAACAATGAGGAGGACATTAACAGATTTCAGAATGGTGGATTAGGCTGATGTATGATAAATGCAATTTTATGTAGAAAAAGTGTGAAAAAGTCTGGCAGTATTTGCAGGGAGACAAATAGAGATAACATTTTGTGTCCATGACTCTTTGCCAGAAGTGTGAAGTGGAAGTAAGAATGAACCAAGGCAACACAAACAAAATGGTTTAATTTTAAAGTGGGTGCAAAAACAGACACCTAAGGTACACATGCATTGATCTTGCAAAGTGTCAGGACAAAATTCATTTGGGACTCATGTCTTCAAAAATAAAAACATATAGAATGAAAGGAAGGAGTTGTGCTGAGACTTTACAAATTACTAGTTTGACCTCAACTACAGTAAGGCTTTGGCTCTGGGCACCACTGTTTGGAACGATGGCAAAGCCTTAAAAGAGGGTGCAGTGGAAACTTATGAGAAAAGTACCAAGGGATGAAGGATTTCAGTGAAAAGAGACAGACCAGAGAAGCATAGGTTGCATTCCTTTGAGGAAAGATGGTTAGAGGGAGATTTGACAGGTATTCAAAATCATGAATGCTGTTGATAGAATAAATACAAAGCTGTTTACAGTGGCAGGAGGATTTAGGGTGACGTATTTAGGATTATTGATAAATGAACAAGAATGAAGAGGAGAATCTTTTTAATGCAGCAATAATCTGGAATCTGCTGCTCAAAAGGATCATGAAAGCTGATTCAATAGTAATTTTCAAAGTGAAATTGAATAGATATTTGGAAAGGGAAAATGTTTTGGGCTGCGGAAGAGAACAAAGAAGTGGGATAAATTGGATAGCTCTTTTCAAACAGCCAGTATAGGCACAATGTGCTGAATGGCCTCATTCTGTGCTAGGATTCTATGATTATGGTCATTTCTCTCAATGTTTATAAATTATCTTTACAAAACACGAGACATGGTTTTGGACTCTGCGGGTGACAAACTGGCAGTCTAGCTGACAATAACCAAAATACAGCAAGAATAAACCAGGTTTGCAAAGTGAACAGATAGATGGCAAATGAAATTTGATACCATGATTTGCAAGGACATTTAGCTTCAAAGGAAGAGTGAGGCCTCAAATTCCATGGAGGACAAGAAACGATATGGAGGAGCCACAAGTTTGGAGAATACAGATCCACAAGGTCAGAGAGTCAATACTGCACAGAAGGAGGCCTACTGAGTCCGCCAATGCTCTTAGAGCAATCTAGTCAGCTCCATTCCCAACTCTATCCCCGCAACACTGCAACTTTATTTCCCTCCCTCAAGTTCCCGTCCAATTTCCTTTTGAAATTATTTGTCATCTCTGCATCCACGCCACGCGTCCCCCCACCCCAGAACCAGAAAATTCCGGTTCATTACAAATCACCAACAGCAGACAACACAAAGCTGCAATGATTACACTGAGGTTCTTTTCCAAAGAAACAACGCAACAGTTGGGTGTAAATATTAAAAAGGTACATAGAAACATATTTAGGCCACTGGACTTTGTGCAGCTCTGGTGTAGAAAAGGGATATTGAACCATTGACAAAATTACAGAAAAGATTAAGGATATTACCAGGATTGAGAAGACGACCTGTCAATAAGCACAGAAACATAGAAGGCAGGTGGAGGAGGAAGCCATTCGGACCTTCAAGCCTGCACCACGATTCAATACGAGCATGGCCGATCATGCAATTTCTGTATCTCAATCCCACTTTCTCTCCATGCCCCTTGATCCCTTTAGCCATAAGGGCCATGCCCAACTGGCCGCAACAGCTTTCTGTGGAGAGAATTCCACAGGTTCCCAACTTCCTGAGTGACGAAATTCTTCCTCATCTCAGTCCTGAATGGCTTTTCCCTTATTCTTAGACTGTAACCTCTAGTGCTGGGCTTCTCTAACATCAAGAACATTCTTCCCGCATCTAGCCTGGCCAGTCTCATCAGGATTGTATATGTTTCTATGAGATAACCTCCTTCATTCTTCTAAATTCTAGTGAGTACAAGCCCAGTCAATCCAGATTCTCTTCATATGTCAGTTCTGCCTTCGCGGGAATCAGTCTGGTAAACCTTCGCTGGACTCCCTCAATAGCAAGAATGTCCTTCCTCAGACTAGGAGACCAAAACGGCACACAGTACAAAAAGTGTGGTCTCACTGAGGCCCTGAATAACTGCAGCAAGACTGAAAAAGTAAAAGACTGAAGAGGATAGTGACCTTTGCAAGGAAAGAAAAAGCCTCAAAATGAAAAAAAAGTGAAGTCCTCAAAATGATTCAGCAGTTTGACAGAAATGAGGGAGAAGGTGATAGAGGGGATACTGGAACAGTGTGGTTTTTGTTTATCTTTTATTTGTTCGCGGGATGTTGGTGTCGCTGACTAGGCCAGTGTTAATTACCCATCCCTAGTTGCCCAGAGGGCAGTTCGAAGTCAACCACATTGCTGTGGGTCACATGTAGACCAGACCCAGTAAAGATGACAGATTTGCATTCCCTGTAGTACATTAATGAACCAGATGGATTTTTTCAACAATCGACAGTGGTTACATGGTCAACCTTAGGCCAGGCATTGAAGTGGGAGAAGGTTCTTGCATAATATAAACACTGGTTCAACCCATGTTTGGGAGGTAGAGGGTAGGGGAAATGCCTGCTTGTGAATTCCATGTGTTGCTAAATATAGGGCAGATAACCCTGTCCTAGTTTCATTGCCCAGAGCAAATCCTGCACGTTCTCTGACTTGGGGAGATCCACGTGCACAAGCAGCAGGGCCAAGGTAATGTGCGAATCACATTACATGTAATTTAATGCTGTGTTGAGAGAAATGCAAGATCCTTTGACGCAGATTAGACAAGCTGAAGAGCTTCACACATGGTACTGCCATCTGGAAAGCAATGTTAAGTCAAGACTTCTCCATATATCTCAAAAATCACACTGCGTGGAAAAGGCTGTGACAGACAAAGGACAAATTGACATCTACAACAGGGACTGTGTGCCTGTTCCCAAAAGCACTAACTCTTGTTGTGGTACCGGTCTATAGGTAATAGAAAATACATATATACCTGCATTACCAGAGCATCTTCAACAAGCTCAGGGCTCACGGAGCCATGGTGCTATATTAGCATGGATAGAGAATTAGTCAACAGATAGGAAGCAGAGAATAGGCATAAACAAGGCACTTTTAAAGTTATAAGCGAAGTCCTGTGGATGCTGGAGATCTGTAATAAAAACAGAAAGTGGAGAAAGAAATAGAGTAAACGTTTCTCTGGGACCCACTTTTAGTGTTGGCAGGCTATGATGAAGGGAGCAGTTTTAGGCCTCAGCTATTTACAACCTAGATTAATAGTTTAAACAAAGAGGTTAAGATTAACATTTAATGACAATACAAAGCTGTAAGGAGGACACAAAGAGGCTGCAATGTGATTAGTCAGGTGAATTGAGCCTGCAACAAGGTGACAGATGGAGTATAATGCAGATAAGTGAGAGAATAGAAAAGAAGACTATTTTGTAAAAGGTGTGAAAGTAAGTGACGATGTTCAGGGAGACTTGGCTATACTCGTTCAGCGAACATAGAGTTTGCATACAAGTGCAGCAGGCAATTAGGAAGGTAAGACATGTTGGCCTTTACAACAAGGGAATTGGAGTGCTAGAATAAGATGGGCTTGGTACAATTCCACAGGTATTTGAAGAGACCACATCTAGAATACTATGCAAAGTTTCGCTCTCCATATTTAAGGAAGGATATATTGGAGGTTGTTCAGCAAAGGTTCACTAGATTGGGAAGCCCTGGGATGACAGGCTTGTCATATGGTGAGCAGGTGAGTGAATTAGATCTATAGTCACTGGAGTTCAAAAGAATTACAGGTGATGTCATGGAAACGTGCACAGTTGGAAGGGATTTAGAAAGATGAACACAGAAGGTGTTTCCCTGCTGGCTTGGAACTCTGGAACATGGGAGACTCAGGAGAAGAGGCCAATCATTTAGCACAGAGATGGCAGGAGAAATTTCTTCACTCAAAGAGATCTGAATTTTAGGACTTCACTGCCTAAGAGTGTCATAGATACCCCATTGCTAAATACTTTGAAGGTCATAACAGACAGGGCACGTGATCCTAACGCATTCGACGAAGGACAAATTATTTTGTGAAATGTAATCACTGTTGTAACAAAATACAGCTGCCGATTTGCACGTACCAAACCTGACACATAGCAAGCAGGCCAATCAACAGATAACCTGCTTTGCTTTTTATTTGAAATGATATTGATTGAGGGATAATTATTAGCCTGACTTGAGCAAGAATTCCCCTGTCCTTCATTAAAATACGATTTTTTACACCCACTTGAGGGGGTAGACAGGACCTCATTTTAACATCTTATCTGAAAAAATGGCACCTCTGACAGTGCAGCATTGCCTCTGTATTGCACAGGGTATATCAGCCTGGACTTTCTGTTCAAGCCTCAGGAATGAAGTTTGACCCAAAATCTTTCAAACCAGGAGGCGGGAAACTGCTATCCACTCAGACATGAGTGACAACTCCTCTAACTTCTGCAGCCACCATTAGCTTATTCAGAGAGTGCCATGGGCTGTTCAACTCATGGGTGCATCACAGAAACCTGCCCATCCTTTTGCCTTATGCCAACCAACATCTGACTGAGCTCAGACTGAGGGGCTGTTGCTGGGAAGCTCGACTCCAAAAACAGCAGCTACATTATTCAACCGGGCCCTGGAGGGATATAGCAAACCCTTTACCAGTAGTGACTATATAAACACCTACTTACTGAAATAGCCGGCACAATGTAGGAAAAATCCAAAACTTCCCAACACATGGGAGCTGTTTTACTGTAAATACCACTGCCCTGTGATTGATATATATTTTTATATAAACAGAGAGCCACACAGGGCAGACCTATACTCAGGAGAACATGGATTAAGTCAAACTGAATCCAATGTGTGTTTCGGTACTCACTGTTAAAAATGGATGTCGCGTATTCTGCAAGACCCTGCTCTCTGTAACAGTGTGGGCGACTTCATCCTATAATGAGACAAAACCAAGCATTAATGTTCATGTATAGTTTTAATTTTATCCATTTAGCAACAACACATACTGGGGCAGAATTACGTGTCTTCAGACTCTC